AAATGTCCTTTATTAATGATAAAATTACAAATGAAACAATGAGGCCCTACAAAATGTTCACTACACCTTGAGCAGAGCATATTAATTATTGCATGAAAATAAAACAAAGGAAATTACTCTTGATCAATAGTGACTATGATGATATCCTCGGATGACCAATTGCTGAACTCTTGTCCTAGGACGCACGGGTAGCTCCAATTATCCATAACATAATCACTACCAGCATCGTCATCCACAACATGCACTTGACCGTCATTAATAAAACCAGCACTGGAAAACTTAATGGGAGTTGGAGAACCTTGAACTTTAGGATTTATCCCTTGCATTATCTGAGTAGGCTTGTAACTAAGACTAAACTTATCTTTCTTCATAAGCCAATCCAACACACGACCCCAACTTTTGGGATGACTAACTTCAACAATAGCTCTAGCTTCCTTCAAGGATGCCATGGAGATCTCAAGCTTTTTAACCTCTGGAGGAGAAGTTTTCACAACTTTCACAACTTCAAAAGCTTAGAAAGTATTTTCATGGATCTCTCCTTCTATATCAATATACTTGAACGACGCCAGATGACTAATCAAGACGTCTTCCTCACCACACACGGTGACCACTTTACCATTAGACAAAAAATTGATTTTCTGATGAAGAGTGGATGTTACAACACCTGCTGCATGAATCCAAGGACGTCATAGGAGACAAAAGTAAGCAGGCTAAATGTCCATGAAAAAGAAAGTAGCATTGGAAACCTGGGCTCCCACCTTAATAAGTAAATCCACTTCACCAAAAACTAATCTTTTAGATCCGTCAAAAGCCTTGACTACCAAGTCACTTGGTCTGAACACCACGCCTTCCACATTCAAAGTTATCAGCGTTGACTTTAGAAAAATATTAAGAGAAGATCAGGTGTCAACCAACACACGGGATAGATACCAAGGCACTCCATGGTAATACACAAAGCTTTATCGTGGTTTCTTCCTTCTGGAGGAAAATCAAAACCAGTAAAACCCAAACCATTACCAGTAGTAATATTAGCCACAACCTGTTCAAAATGATTAACGGAGATCTCATGAGATATAAATGCAGTGTTCAGGATCTTCATCAAAGCATTACAGTGAGTTATAGAGCACAAAAGTAATGACAAAATAGATATCTTACAAGGCGTCTGGTTAACCTTCTCAACCACCTTATAATCACTTTTCTTGATGAGCCTTAACAACTCTTCAACTTATTTGGAAAATTATGATTCATAAGTAGGAGTTGGGCCTTGCATCTGGTCCTTAATGGCCACCAGTTTACCTTTAGCATTAGTTAAAGCATCAGCATCCTTGTCCCATGTGGGTTGTTGAGGAGCGAATATCTGACCACTACGAGTAAATCTTCATGCCCCTATAATATTATCAACATTTTTTTCATCAACCACATAAGGTTCAATCTCTTGTTTATGCCCTTGATAATAAACCTCAACCCTATAACGCCATGGTACAACCTTGGTATTCTCATAGGCAACAAGACGAGATGTAGTAATAATCAAATGAGCTTATTTAATTGGTGCAGAAACCTGAGTTGGAGTACAAGGAATGATAACAATAACAACATTGTTAGTATCCTTCTTAGCAGCTGAGATCCTATGAAACAGAAAAGAGCCTTCATCAATCTAACTTTGAATACCACCTATCAAATCATCACAACCCCCAGGTTAAGCCAAACACTTGCATTCCAAAGAACAACCAAGGAACACATCCTTCTTGAGTAACTTCTCTTTGACAAAAGATAATAGAGTCTTCGAAAAATTCATATCTATCACCAAATTCAAACCATCACCCCCTTCTATGGCATTCACAGCAGGACCCCCATGAGGTGGCATTGGATTTTGGATCACATTTGGACCCACATCAGTAGAGAACTCAATAGCATTCACATCAATCAAATCTTGCACCTCATGCTTTAAGGCTATGCACTTTTCAATGTTGTGACCAGGTACCCCAGAATGGAACTTGCATCTTGCATTTGCATCATAGCTAGGAGGAAGCTTTGCAGGAGTTGAGAGAGTCCTTAATTGAATTAATTGCATCTTGATAAGATGGGGTAACAATTAGGAATAAGACATGGGAATAAAATCAAAGTGCTATGTAGGCATCTTATGTCTCTGTTGAAATGGACGAGGAACGTAAGGTTATTGATGATGTGGTTGCTGGGGTGATGTGGGGATGGACACAACAGCCATCTGATAATCTAGAGTATGAGCTTGAGTGCTTTTGTAAGAAGATACAACATTGATTTCCTCCTCATTCTTCTTGGAGAATCTAGTATAAGGTTCTTTTTCTCTCCTGCCATCATCAAATCAGAAAAACCAACAGAAGTGCTCCCCACCAACCTATCATAATAAGGACCCTGCAAGGTGCTCAAGAACATATCAACTAGTTCTCTCTCCATCACCAGAGGTTGAACTCGTGCAACCAATTTGTGCCACCTCTGGGCGTACTCCTTGAATGTCTCATTGGAACCCTGGGAAAGACTCTGCAGCTAAGTCCTATTGCGAGCCATATCAATATTATAATGATAATTCTTAACAAACGCTTATGCCGGCTCTCTCTCCAATTGCGGATATTAGTTCTTTCCAGTTGCATATACCACTCCAAAGATGCCTCACTTAGGCTATCCTAGAAGAAGTGCATCAGCAGTTTTTCTTCATCGGAGTGTGCAGACATATTTCTGTAGTATGAATGGATGTGGGTCTTAGGGAAAGTTGTGTCCTTGTATTTGTCAAAGTTCGAGACTTTGAACTTATTAGTAATTCTCACACCTGGAACTAGGCCCGGGTTCGCAACATCCATACCAAGAGTATTGTGGCTCTCCATAGCCCTCATCATCTCTTCCAGCATACATAGTTTCTTCTCAACCTTAGTAGGAAAACCTAAATAATCATTATGCATAGAAAACAAGTCCTCATGATTGTCCTCTTCTAGTTATGGAATAGGAATCTCAATTGTTCTTCTACCCTATTTCTCAAGCAATTGCTAATAGGTGGATTCACATTATCTTCAGGGGGTTAACAGTACCATTTAGAGGATCAACAACATTCTTAACAGTAGGTATTTGGACAACTTCCCTTAGCACCTCCTGACAATGAGCCATGGCTTAGATAACTTCCATAAATTGACCCATTTGAGAATTCATCTGGGTCCTCATCTCAATCATATTTGCATGTAGTTGCTCCATAAGTAGTCTTTGATTACTGCGAGTTATGTAGCGGTGAAAAGTTGAATTTGTAATTTTGTTATAAAAAAAAAATCAGAATAAAAAGACCAATCTTGAAAATCTGTCATGAATGTATGCATGAATGCATGCAATGTTCACATTTCCAGGGGATCCTGAAGTTTTGTAATTTGTTAAGCATAATCAAATTAATAAAGTAAAGACAATACGTAAACAAAAAGTTAATACATAACCCAAACTGCTTTAATTGATCAAAGGGAAATAACAAGAGATTACAATGAGTTCATAACAAGATAAAAGGCCAATGAAAATTATAAAGACAGAGGATCCCAATCAACATGTCTGATGGTGACCCTTGTAACAATTGGGAAAATTAAAGAAGTTTCCATCATTATTTATTTGTCCTAAGGACATGGAAACTAATGGGAAAACCCTAATCGTAAGGATAAGACATATGTTGTAACTAATTTAAGGGTTAGGGAGTCAATTAAGAAGGGAAAGATGTTAGAAACCCCTCACCTCCTTTGTACTCAAGGGGGGGGGGGGGGGGGGGGCTTCTCTAATCTTAGGGTTACTAGGTGGGTTTACTAGGTGTGCTTACTTACTTTATTTCTGTTTATTAGGCTTTAATTATTCACAAGGATAAAATGATAAAAGGAGTTAATATTAGTGGTTAGTTGACTCACCTTAGTTTTACAATCGTGTGGCTATGTACCTCTCGTCAAGAGATGAGAGAAATCATAGTCCTACGTAGTTCAAAATATGTTTGGTTGATTATAGCTTTTGAAAATGTATTTGAATTTGAGTTAATCACACGAGGCGAGGAGTGATTTGATGTCGCACGGAGCGAAAGGGTTTGATTGATGAAAGAGAAATATTTGATGATTTGTCATAGATTTTAGTGTTTTGATTTTAATTAATTATCGGTAAGGTGTTAAGCCAACCTATTAGTTACTCGAGGAAGTGGTGGATATGCATCCATCGATCTTATTCTTTGCAAAAATCTTGGTTAGTTTTGATTCAAAAGAGAGTAAATTGATATGTACAAAATTTTCCATTTTAGATCTTGAAGATCAATTGGTGAGACATTAAGCCGACCAATTAATTACTCGAGGATGTGTATCCACTTATCTTATTATTTAGGAAAAAAGTATATAATTATGTGAGTTGTATTTATAAATTAGTGATTGTTAGAATTTAATAGGAAATTAGAATAAATATGTACGAATTAGTCAATTTAATTAATCTGAAATTAACTAGTCTAATTTAAAAGTAAACAATTTTTCATTGTTTCTGATTTTTTTTACTTTAAGAATAGAATTAGTTAAAACTTAAATGAGTCAAACTAACTAATCTAAATTGTACAAAAAGAATCTAAAGGAGGATAATTAGAAACATGAGGGGGTTAACCAAGACTAAGAGACTTTAAGGTCCTAGGAGGGGGTAATTACAATCCATCACCACTATTTTAATTCTCCATTTTTGACTTCCCAACCAAATTAAACAGCCACTTAATGAGTGACACTTGTCATTTAATAAAAAATAAGAACAAAAGAGAGAGATGTACTAACACTCAGTAAAAGTAAAAAAATGAAAACATGATTCCCCGCAATACTCTCTTCTCCTTCCACAACTATTTATAGAAAATATTTTCTCCATTACAAAATCAAACCACAATAATCCATTAATACACAAAAATTAAAGTAGGCAGAAAGACGGGCTTACCAGATTTACAACGTTGGGGGCAGTCGGACGATGGTCGTGAGTGTGGTTTCTCATCACCAATGAGATTCGCAGCAGCTGTCAGTGTTAGGGTGGTGATCTCGCGGCTTCTTGGTGAGGTTGCATTGTGGCGGTGTGATTGGAGTTCTCAGTTAGACTGGTTTGCAGTAATAGAGTGTGTTGGAGAGAATTTTGACGCATTAGAGGGGTTTCTGTGGTGGCTGCTTGATCATGGTCGGGTCTTCTTCGCTGGCACTATGTGACTGTGTGTGGGTATGGTGTTTCCGGTTGAATCCTTGGGGTAGACGTGTGTGAACTTGACAACAAAGGTTCTCTGCACAAGTTGTGGTCACGGTTGGCTGTGAATCAAAGGGTTGCAGCGTTGGAGTGTCGTAGTGTCAGCATTATTGCAGAGTTTATCGCTTCAGGGCGTTGTGTTCAAGGAGTTTCGCATGGCTATGTGTCGGGATTCCACTTCCCCTCTGTTCAAGATTTGTGTTTGAGTTTGTTGGATTTGAGATTTTTGTATTTACTGATTTATTGTATGTGTAAATGGTTTGGGAAGGTAAGTTGAATTGGTGAGGTTAGTGAAGGTTAAATTTCCCAAGTTATATGAGATATTATGAATGGATGAATGGAAGGCTTTTTAATCATAGAGAGATTATGATTGTTCATGTGAGGTCTTTAGAAATTAAAGGTAATGGTATGCACGTGAAACGGTGGAAGAGATTCTTTTGTGACCTTTGTTGAAAAGTCAAAAGAAGACTTTGTGAAAGTATGGTTTATATTTGTACCAAAAAGGTTACAGGTTGATAAAAAATATGGGAAAGAATGGAGTCTTGTAAGTGTGTGGAATTGTGGAATGTTAGGGTATGTACAACAATTTGTTGTGTGTACCGTCTAAAGACTTACGAAAAAAGTGTGGTTTTTAGTGAATGGGAACAGTGTATGTACAAAACCAAAATAAAAAACAAGAGGCGTAAGTGTATGTACGTGTATGAGAGAATGGGTGTGGAAATTGGCCTCTCCTATGTGTTAGAAATAGAACCTACTTATACTAAAAAACTAGTTAGTTAAAAAAGGAAAAAATTATGATAAAAGCTATTTAAACAAATCAAGACCAAAAATAAACTTGTTTTAATTCTAGCAAGAAATAGCATAATCAAATCAAAAAGTTTAATGAAATTGACTTGTTGAAAAAGTTAACATAAAAAGCTACCTTATTTATTTATTTATTTATTTTTGGGATTATTTGAATAAAATATGCATAAAATCAAGAATTAAATGAAACAATAATATTTAAAAAATTCTAAATAATAAAAAACTAAAATAAAAATAAAAATGCAATATTTTGAATAAAAAAATTAAAAAAGTTAGTAACAAATAAAACAGAAAAAAAATGCCAAAAGTGGTAAATGTGGGATTCAAACTCATGATCTTATACTTACAAGCCTTACTTCCTTATCAATTGTGCCAATTCATTTATTCGAAATAAAATGGTATTTTAAAATATATGAAGTCAAGTTCCCAGAAAAAATTGGGGTATGACAAATGCCCCTATTTAATTACCCTTCGACTCGAGAGTGTAGAAGACGGAGTCTTCGCACGTTTGTGGCGAAGGATAATTAAATACCAGAAGACCCCAAGTTTGTTCCTTGAGAGGGAGAATTGTATAAAGGAATATCTTCATCGAGGATATGCGTGCTAACACCCATCTACAGGTTAATGAGGCACATTCAAGTTTTGATTTTGCCTTGGAAGGACTTAAAATGTAGTGAGTCCCCTACTTGGATGCAGTGAGGATGCCAAAAAGAGCGGGATGGACAAGTGTCTTAGAGTGAACAGAAAATTCTAGACGAGACTAGAGATGACTTAGGTGAGAAAGACGACGTAGACAACTCGTCAATACCCGAGAAAACACAAACACAAATAAGCGACCAATCACTGCTAAGGGACTAATGTGATAGGAAGGAAAAACAAACGCGGATAACTAATCAATCAATGCCAAGGACTAAGGTGATTGAAGATAACTTATCAGTGCTCAAGGACAAATGTATCAAAGAAAGCCGTAAATTGACACAATTAACACTACCAAGGGACTAATGTTAAAAATGAGGACTAACCGATCACTTCCAGGGGACTAATGTGATAGAGAGGAAAAAAACGTGGATAACAAATTAATCACTGCCATGGGACTAAGGTGATTGAAGGTAACTTGTTACTACTCGGGGACTACTGTAACAAACTATATCGCATCTTTTGTATGCTTATCACTACCTAGGGGATAAACAATGTCAGTATCAACTCCATCTTTGCCATGGAACTGATTGGATGGTGTCGAAAGTTTGAATAACTTATTACTGCTCGGGGACCAATATAATAAGTTATATTGCAAATTTTGCATATTTACCATAACTTAGGGGGTAAACAATGTGCGTATTAACTATATCTTTGCTGCAACACTGATCGAATAGAATCGAAATATTGAAAATAACTTATTACTGCTCAGGGACTAATTAACAAGTTATATCGCAGATTTTGCATACTTACCACAACCTAGGGGGTAAACAACGTAGGTATCAACTATATCTTTACCACAGGACTGATCGAATAGAATCAAAAGATTGAAAATAACTTATTACTGATTAGGGACTAATATAACAAGTTACATCATAGACTTTGCATATTTACCATAACCTATGCGGTAAACAATACGGGTATCAACTCTTCTTTGTCGTTGGACTGATTAGATAGAATTGACAGTTTGAATAACTTATTACCGCTCCGGGATTAACATAGTAAGTTGTATCACAGATTTTGCATATTTACCACAACATATAGGGTAAAAAATGCTTGTATCAACTCTATCTTTACAGTAGGATGTAACACCCTAATTTAACCCCCGCTTAATTATAATGAAATCAGAGTAATATTTAAACCTCAAAAACACAATTAGGATACCACATCTTACAAAAATATACACGGCTGCCCGGAATATATAAATGATACATAACACCATCAAAGATGAACCAAAGCAAAACAACATATTATTCTACTTCAAATTTTATTAAGCAGTGGAATGAAATCATAATTTAGAATAATAATGAATTCTTCAAATATACCAACAATCTACGTTTTCTCAAACATCAAGAGTTCTTAAGACTCCGACAACAATTAAAATAAACAAAATGAAAGTAGCATTCATCCCCCCGGTATGACATATCAGAGCATAACGCCGACTCAAAATAGCTAACAAGTAACTTTGTCCACTGAGGATCACCTGCACGTTACCCACGTAGATACAACATTCAAACATAAGAGGTGATATATCATAACCATTTAACAGAATGTATAATAATAAGTAGATAGCAATTTATTTCGCATAGTCATACATCCTTCATCTTACAACTCCACATCATTTTACCATAATCATTTGGCATATCAAATATACAACATCAACATAATACAACATCAACATACATCATCTACATAACACAACTTCAACATGCATCATCTACATAATATAACATCAAGTTAATAATAATAATGCTATTCAACGAGACCAACACCGACTCAATGTATGTGGTACCAATAGGGCGTAAGCCCTCACCATAATTCCAAATAGGGTAGCAACATAGCATATGCCCTCACCATAACTCTAATCTAGGACAACAACATGGCATAAACCCTTAACTATGAATGCATACAACATCGACATGTAACAACATAATTATGCAATAACAGAGTATAGGCCCACATCATTAAGCCATCACAGGGCAGCAACAACATCATCGTCATGCAATATCATATGCAATAACAGAGCATAATCCCTCAGCATTAAGCCATCCCAGGCCAGTAACAACATCATCATCATGCAATATCTTATGCAATAACAAAGCATAATCCCTCAGCATTACGCCATTCCAGGCCAACAACAACATCATCATACTAAAAAACAATAGTCATTATCACATATTATGTGAACTACACTTAGACGGGCATAATTTTCTGTCAAATAATCATCTACTTTGTTCCAATTTATTTTTATGAGATTGAAAATAATTTTAGCTTTTCATCGGTCCAAACGGCGCGTTAAACAGACACCCGAGTCAAAAGTTATGAATTTTACAAGTTTTGAAAGAAATGTCAGCTTTAGTGGGAATCAGTTCCCTCCACGAGGGTACCCAGTTCCCACCTCATAGTTTTATCTCCCAGACCCAAAATTACACGTGGGAATCGGTTCCCTCCAGGAGGGTACCCGATTCCCCCTGCTGTAGAAGACAAAAACTTACAACTTTTTAAATACGATTTCCACTTTTCTAAAACCCCAAAACACCAATTTTGAAAACAAAATAGTATCTTTTTGTTCTACCAATTATGTGAAAATATTTATCATCAATTTAACTCAATTCACATCATCAATTTTACAAATTTCATCACAATGCATCAACAATATTAAAGCCCACAAAACAACACATTGAGAGCTCAAGATCACACAACCATGAAAACCTAATCACAACCATTCCCCATCATTATGCAACCTGTTATAGTGTTAGAACCTCAACCTTACCTTAGATTGAAGATTCTAAACTTTTACGTTGAAATCCCTTACTCTAGCCTCCTAGTGCTCTTTTCTCCTCCTCTCTTTTCTATGACCGCTCTCTGTCTTCATGTTCTGTCTCTTTCTAACTTCCCACTCCTATGATATTCCACTAATAACCCTTGGACCCCTAAATCATAATTTCAACCTTGTCATTCTATAATTAAATAATTATTTAATTAAATAAATATAATAATTATTCTATTATTCTACTACTAATAATAATAAAATAATTACTAGTTCTCTCACTACACCTCCATGCCTCTACATTTTCGGTCAAACACCCTCATGCCTTAAATTCCATAAGTCTAAGGTAAATACCCTCTCACCAAAGCAAAACAACACATCCCAACGTTCATAAAAATACACAAAGAACACCACATTGCATAATTACTTAACTAAAATAATTTAAATTAAAAACAAGGTGTTACAATTCTCCCCCACTTAGAATATTTTCTTTCTCAAAAATTCATTTAATACTAACAACTCTGAATATGACTCTCGTATCCTATTCTATGTCTCTCACGTCATGTTTGGAATCATTTCAAATATAACTAACCAACATCCCACATAGTCAACCATTATAATCCCACAAGATTCATTATTATCGGGTTATGAATGCATTGGTTAATCTCACTCCTTGTCCCAACACTCTAGGATACA